AACACTTTATTTTAAGGACCAATTCTCACTATAAACTAGCTGCTTATTAGCATGCATATTACTGACATCCTGGCCGTTTATTAGTACTTATAAAGCACATATTAATTCCTTATTCTGCATGACCATATCTTAGATCCCTTAATCAAATTCCATACCTAAAATTAACGACTACTTTAACTATTAATAAGCAGCAAATTATGAGTTTATCGAGGAAGAAGTATTAATGAATAATTTTTCCTTAAATTCTAAAGTGTTAACAAATAGATTTTAACTAAAATCAAATATTTTTAAAAATGTTGCCATGGCAGAATTTCTCATTTTGATTTAGTTTAACTTGATGCACTAAAATAACTAAAATTACAAGTAAAATAAATTTGATGAAGACTATAGACACATTTGACAAAAAAAAACCAAAATGACTAAAAAATATAGGAAAATACTAAATTATATAGAAAAAATAAAAACGTATTCAAAATATTAATAAAAACTATAGTAGGCTCAATGCTGCTAAAATAACACTGAGTAATACGAAGTACTTTTAAGGTCAATGTCATCAGTATTGTTTTGTTTGGGCAATACTAATAGAGGATTGAGGATGTTGCAACATTATTTACACACCATATATAGCCAATGCACTGAGGGTTAAATGTAAATTTGAGTAATATGATATGCTGTTCATCATCATTTTATACAGTTGGAGGAGACTGGGGTTGGGTTCTGGTTCATATTTGGATGTTGATCTGAATGTGTCCTTTTCATTCATACTCATTGATTTTTATCACGACATGAAAAAAACATTTCAAGGTGAGGACAACTTTTCAATTTTATAAAAAAAAATAGTGAGATATTTTAATTATTTGTAAATATATGAATGTTAGATAATATAGATATAGATGCAGTTATATTTTGATAGAATATTTGGAAGCTTGTGATTCAGTTTTTAATCTGTCTGACAGATCTGATAAATCAGATTCTGACAGAAGAGAATAAATGTGGGATATTTGGACCTTGGTTCATCTTTTCACACTAATCATCAACGCCATCAACCATCTACTGGTGAGTGTAATTACATGTGCCAAAATATAATTACAGTTTTCACTACAGACAAATATTATCAGTAGTTAACTGCAAAGTCTTTTTAATATTCACTATGACAATACTACTAGCACTTAATATAATGATTTTAAATCAGTCTTGGATAGTGCTGATCTTGTGCATTTTGTCAAATTTCCAACACATAACAAAGATCATATTTTAGATCTAGTAGGTTGCTCTGGTGTTATCCCTCTTAATTTTTCTTCTACCGAATTTCCAATCTCTGATCACAAGCTGGTATTTTTTAAAGTTACTGTTCCTTTAACAAAAGCTAAACCACAACGATCTGTTCTATTTTGTCATATTAATAATATTGACCTTAATGTTTTGGATGGAATGATTGACCATTCTGTAAACCAGTGCTGTTTTATTTCTTCCACATCTTACTTGGTACATTTTGGCACTGTGGCTCCTGTGAAAACTTGTACTGTATCATTTATTTAATTCTTCCCCTTGGTATATTTCTGAGTTCCGTCACCAAAAGGCTAAAGGTCATCGACTGGAGAGACTTTGCAAAATAACTGGTCTTAAAGTACACAAACAGTTGTATTCTGAGCATCTGATCTCGTACAAGGCTGAACTTAAAAGTGCGAAATCATCTTTTTATGCAAATGTCATAGACAATGGACAAAACAAAGTCTTTGTTTAGCACTGTTAACAAACTGTTGAAACCTTCTGTTAATGATTCACTTTCTCACTTTCACTTTCTAATTTTTTTAGGTCTAAGATTAACAGTCGACATCAAGAATTCAGATTCCAGATGGATATAATCAAGTATTTTGATCTACAAGTGTTCTCTCTAAATTTGAGTTGCCTTCAGTTGATAATATCACTAAGTTTATTATTAGGTCTAAGCCTTCTGCTTGTTCACTTGATCCCTTACCCACTGTCTTAAGTCCTGTATTCAATTTCTCCCATTATTACAGCTTACAGCTATTACAGTTTTCTCCCATTATTACAGCTATAGTGAGTTCCTCATTATCTACTGCTACTGTTCCTTCACAATTAAAATTGGCTTCTATCACTCCAATTCTTAAAAATTCTAGTGCGGATCCTAATGATTTCAATAACTATCGGCCCATTTCTAATGTTCTTTTTATTTAAAAAATACTTGAAAGAACAGTAGCAACTCAACTTGAAGCACATTTGCAAAGTAATGATCTCTATGAGCAATTTCAGTTGGGCTTCAGATCCAAACATAGCACGGAAACAGCTCTCGTTAAAGTTACAAATGATCTTCTCCTTGCAGCTGATTCTAGTTTTCTGTATATTCTTATTCTTCTAGATATTAGTGCTGCCTTCGATACTATTAGTTATTCAGTTTTATTGGAATGATTGGCTTGTATTGGGATAGCTGATAATCAGAGGCGGACAAAGTACACAACTCCATTACTTGAGTGAAAGTACAGATACTGCTGGTCAAATATTACTCCATTACAAGTAAAAGTTGTAAAGACAGATTTTTACTTAAGTAAAAGTACAGAAGTACTTGCTTTTAAAAGTACTTAAGTACCAAAAGTAAATTTCCTTTTTTATGTCAATGCACTGTTTTATTGTTGTACGTACTAGTACTTGCAATACCTTTGAAGCAACTTAGAATACATTACACCTACTGAATACACTGACTAGCTTGTAGTATCTATGGAATAAAGAGCTTTTAAAATGTTAAAAACCTATGGGGAAAAAACGAAACAAAAAAAATATTATTTAACAGCCCCACAAAAGCAGGATGGTAGTGATCTCACACACCTCTGGACACATCTATGTGTAACCATTCATCCACATTTGAACAGAGTGGACAATGAAATTGCTGTAAATACAGACCGATAAGGAAGAAAA